ACCTGAAATCAATATATCCTGATACTGATTTTTTTATTTGTCATATAAATGTATTATGAAAAAAGTTTTCCTTGGCAAGACATAAAAAATTATATGTTCTCCATGATTGTACAGTTTTCCATAATTCTGGGCATATGAGAAAAAAACATGAGCCCAGTGAATGGATTTAAAAAAAAAACTTATCTTATATATCAGTATTCAGAAATAACGGTATTTAAAATTTTACCAGTGAATCATGGTTGACATCATTTGTAATTCATAAATTCTGCATATTCATACATACTTTAGTAGCCATTTTAAGGTACAGTGATATAGAATTGATGTTCACTATTAAAAGTGCTTTAAACAGATAGCTACTGTACGTAGGCAAATGCTCAAGACATTTCAGATACAGTAGTATAATTTGTTTTGTACAGTATTACATTATCTTCCACTATCATGAATATTCCAAAATTCCAGTTGACATCTATGGCCTTAGCTACATCGTTGGCAATAGTATCAGTATAATTAATTTTGCAATAATGATGTCATTAGAAAAGGATTATACTTGATTTGAATAAGTTTGTGATCTGGACATCGGAACCAAAAATGAAAAAACAATTATGAATCTGCTGGAAATGACCTCATTAAAAAATAAATTTTAGATGATAACATATCCGACATTTGGAGTGGAGGTATATATAGGCCCAAATAAAATTAATATTTGGTTTCAGATTTCATAACAATTTTTAGATATGTAGGTAGGTAGGAAAAACATTTTATTTTTTAAATATTTTATTGGGTTACGCTTGTAATTGCACCCCAGCTCCCTGATTGATACTACACATCATTCTCTCCATGTTAATATTAATCGTTTCCACCACCGTCAGCAACTTTAGCTGCCCAAAACTAGGTGGAGTTTACATCAATTGATATCCATGGACCGTCGTCCGATGTGGCTTGCGATGAAGTTGCAGCCAAAGCAGGCGTAAGTGAACATGTTCTAGTATTTTGAATACTAAAAATATCTTGAATTGTATGTTTGTCTTTAACTGTCAAGTATTCCCTTGATTCTGGCTTGTGATTACACTTAGAAAGTATAAACACAATTAGCATCACTGGTGAAGAAATCTCCATCTCCATGTTGAACCCTCGAAACTTTTTCAGCAGTGGTAAAATAGGATTTTGTGTGCATGATTAACAGTGAGAACCAAGTTGTACCGCTGTGTATCGTGTATTTACTAGGATCGCATTCATAAGTCATAAGTCACATTTATTGGCCAATCAAAACATTTACAAAAGCATTAACAATAAATTGGAAAATAAAATAGAAAACACCAAAGTGACAGGAAGATGGCCAAGAGACTACATGAAGGCCAAAAGGCCTGTCATTGTAGCCCCTTTTGACACATTGAATAACGAATAATGTATCTGTTAATTTTTTAAAGATTTTCAATAATGTTTTGCTTATAATAATGTTTTCCGTGCTTTTGTGTTATTGTGTGTTTAGTCTCATGGTCCCATTACGTTATGTTACCTTTTTTTATTTTTCAGTTTTATACTTCATAAACAATTCATAAAAAAGGCTTTTCTTACTCCTGTGTTATTGTGTGTTGTGTCTCATGGTTCAAAAATTCTTTAATACTTTCTCATGGATTCAACTGTTACGTTACAATTCCCCCTTACCCTTTTTTTTTTAACAAATTGAATATAGTAATTGAATGCAATCTAATTCTTTATTCCAATGAAAGCTTGAATTATTGAGCCTCAATTAGAAACAGTTTATATTTCTTTTTGAACATACAAACACTGTTGGCACATTTTATATTAGGAGGTAAATCATAATCAGCAGTAGTAAAATACACTTTTGTGTGCATGATTTATAATGAGAACTGTGTGGTACCGCTGTGTACCGTGTATTTACTAGGATCACATTTTATCATTGGGAAGATCAGTCTAACGTCCACCTGGAGTGAATAACCATAAATTATTTTCTATCAATATGGTCATTTTATGACATTTTAACAGTCTGGTGGGAAATTGGAAACCAACTGTTTATTCTGTTAAGCCTGGGGATTTTTTTCATAAAATTTTAGTACCCCTGAAGTTTAAATCCGTCACTTACATTTTGTCCTCACATCTGAAAATGACTCCAATAAGCTGCACTTCCATCCTGTACAAAAATAAAATAAACAAACACATTCAAAATCTCCATTCACAACCTTCTAGAGATTATGACTGAGGTCAATTAAGGTATTTAAAACAGAGGTTGATTAGAACTATAGTATTTTAACAAATTTTTTTATTTTTGTATACACATTTCAGGTTATTTTGGTTTTGTATTGTAACAAATTTCAGGTTTTTTTTAGTTTTGTATAATTACAACAATTTCAGGTTTTTAAAAAACAAATTAGTAAGCCAAAAACATTTGTGATGGGTGTATGAAAGCTTATTACATTTAAATCGTTTGATTCCAATTTAAAATTCTGGTTTTTTTTTATTTTTAAAATTAAAGTTTGTTTGTTTCCTCTTATTATCTGTTATTTGCAATAACAAACTACTGATCCTTGCCGGAGGAGTGAAAGCAGTCCGGCTGACATGCAAACTTTCCTGATTGATGGGCTTGCCACATGAGGCTTAGTTTGGCTAGGCTGAACCAACTACAGCGGATTGAATGCTGGCCGGAGTAGGGATGTCAAATTAGGTCTAATAGTAAAATATGAAGAAAAAAAAATAGTATTCTATAAATAGCAATTATAATTATTGGTAATCCGAATTAGAATGCAATTTTTTAAATTTGTAGTTCATGCATGTAATGCAATAGAAGCTATTGTAATCACTTTCCACTGTTTTCCCTGTATGTGTTGTGTGTGTGTCTATAGACATTTATGCAAATGCGCATGTGTAAAAAAAAGTTTCCCGACATTTTGTTTTTCCTCGCGATGCGAAGTACGATGTGAAATTCCTGCAGTGTTCAGTCAGGCCGACTTGCCGATCGGCAAGTTTTTTCCACAAAAACATAAGGCCTAGTTTAGTAGATCGATTAGGGTGGTAGATCGTTAAATGAATGATATCGTGTTATCATCTAATACAGGCCCCCCCCCCGATGGGGGGGGGGGGGGTGGGGCCCTGTATATGTGTATTTTCTACATATTAGTAGACTCTAAAATCGATTAAATAAGCCCTTAAAACCCCTAAATTGGAAAAATTTTCGGGGGCTTTGCCCCCTGGACCACTTTTGAAGCCTTTTAATCAAAGTTCGAACACGCCCACTTTGCTTTCATTGGGGAAATCTGACCCTTCGTTGGGGGCGTTAGCCCCCCGTCAGGGACCTCCGCCCTCCCGTCGGGCAAATCCGGGCGTCACGCCTGCCTTGTGTGGACGATAGGGCACAAGCTATTTTAAAATAATTTGTAGTCTAGTAGGCCACTGCCAGCTCCCATACTTCCGATATCATTACAAACTACTGTAAAATGAAAATACTGTATACAGTACCTAGCTAGGCTTACGAAATTTTTTCAAAGAAATTTGCTAAAAATATTACCGTAATTTGCCTATCAATGTGGTCTGAAATCACTATTTTGGGCCATAAAGACCCCCCTGAATTTTTCAACCAACACACAAATTTGACCCCGGTTTTTCTGATTATGTCATTTATGATTACTTTAATCAGAAAATATGGTTGGTTAAGTCATGTATCATGCATAGGAACGTTGATGCCTGCTAGGCTCTGGTTAAAGGATTTTTCATTATATTGGGAAGAATGCTGCAATGTACACAAATGCCATTACTGTATTTTTTCAGGTGCATAGATTTGGCGCAATAAGACGAGGGTTTAAAATCTCAGATTATCTTATCTTATTTGTGCATACATGTAGCACTGGTCCTAAAGTTGTGCCCTATTTTCTTGAAATCATTTTTGGATAAATATTAAATCAGTATAATGTGACATATACACTCCCACCCGTTTGTCTCTCCATATCACAATGAATCCACCAGAGCGTGATATAATTGTAACAAACTGCTAGATGTTAAAAATTTAGGCAAATTAACAGCTGACAAACTTGTCCTTCTGAGAACCACTGTAAGGGCAAAGTGCATGTGTAAGATTTCTGATGTGATCACACTGACTTGAAATTTTACATCCGTGTAACAATAACATTCTATTATATTAATAACACTGTTATTGTTAATATCAACATTGGTCCTGTCGAAGTCTGTTTCTTTTTTTTAAGCATATTCAGACATTTTGAACAGAATTCAAATTAATCAATGGATAAACTGCTTTTCACTGAGGATTATCCATACAAAATAGTTATGGCCCTCTTCCTGTGACAAAATTGTATTATTCATCCATACATACATCCATCCACATGCTACATTGTTTTGTGAACAATGTATTTGCTTTTTCAAGTAGACTGGATCCATTAAAATTTTTACAAGATAAGAATAAATAAGTAACTAAAAAATTGTATTTGTACTGCTGAAACAGTACCCCAAAAAGACACAGGTTTATAATTGCAGTCGTGAAATTATATTAACACACTTTTGTAGGATTTGTTGCATATTATATTTAGTGTCAGTGCAATCCTGTGTTAGCCACAACCTCTAGGTTTAAGTCTCAATGGCAATTCTTACGCCATGTTGTACTTTGCATTTATCCTTATTGTCTGCTGAAATTCACTTATTGTACTATGTGGACCGACAAGAACTTTTTTTGAAAGGGGGAGGGGGGTTGGGAAAGGGTGATTAAGGAATTTATGATCTCTTGATGTAAATATTGAGAAGAGTAGGGGAAATCAGTCAGACGATTGCCTTGAAAAATGTTGTCTTTCGTTTTGGCAGGATTGAGAATACTGTAATATTAATAGAACAGAATTGCAAAGATCCACGTGCAATGTTTGTAGTGTTTCCTATCATTATCAATTAATAATATTCAATAGATTTATTGTATGAAAACACATTTTATTCCAAATTGTTCGTTAATTTTTAACATCTTCCTTATTTGTTTTATCTTTCAGCCAAGTATATTTGGAACACTTGCCAAAGATAAGTCACCTGCTAGAGATGAAAATAAAAGAGTAAGTTCCTGTATACATGAACATTTCTTGTCTTTACATTTACGAAACCAAATACTGTATATTATTCATTTCAGAAAATATATAAATTTATTTTCTGATGTCATAGTTAAAAATTTCTTTGAATAAAACTTGGATTAGATGTATTCAGTGTAAACACCAAGGATAACCCACAAAAGTCAGAAGACTTATTTCCAGAAGGTTTCTTCTTGTGGTGACTTGGCAGTACACCGGGAGACAATTCCCTAATCTTTTCCTGAAGAATGTACTGCGTTCTCTAACGTGCACATGGGCCATAATGCACACAGGACCAATGGCTTAGATGCCTCATCCGAAAGACAGTGCACTATCGTACATTTTAGCCCTCTCGATGAAATACAGGGAGAGCAGCAATGGGAATTGAATCAGGGACCAAGAGATTTCCACAGTCTGTTAGAGAAACAAATCTATTTAAATCGTATCATTTACAGAAAACAATACATGTTTCATAAAAAAACAAAGTGTGCTTAGTCAACCATATTATTCCACAATGACAATTCCTCTCATCTTCTATCGTATTCATCCCGTATCATTTTGATTCAACATCATTTTTGAATAATTAAATTTTATTAATATTTATAGAAATACTATAAACTTTTTAAAGTCTGTCAGTTTGTTGTCAGCTGCAGGCTAATTCATTATAAGAAAATATTGTAGTTACTATTGAGTTCAGTTCCCACACACAACAAAATTGCTCATTAAAGATTTGATATATAATTGGAAGGGTGTCACGTTTGTCTCACTTTCAACTCTTACGTCATCCGGTTGCAACAGCTGTGGAACCGGGCTTCTCATCTTGCATTCAATTTGAGGAGCCAGTGACTTGATTCCACTGTTAAAACTCTTGCATTGGTTACCAGTTGATCAGAGGACTATTTTAAAAATCTCACTGCCATGTTTAAATGTCACTGAATAGACTTTTGTTCACCTAATAGATAAATTATTCATGAATCAATATCTACATTTTATAATGTAATTTAAAATCTGAAATATCGTCTGGTGACTGGTTGGTTGTAATTCTACAGCTAATTTAAGCATAGACATGCCTCCAATTGTACACCTACATTATATACTGACATGATTGGGGAATGCCACTTTCAAATGTTATGAGATACTTTCCAATTTGAAGTGAGCCCTCTATAATCAGGTCATTCACATGTCATTGCATGAATATATTGTGATGTCATAGTGCATTTTCTACCTCAATGGTGATGTTATATCATTACTCATATCTACCATGAGTAAAAAAATAATAAAAATGGAAATAATTTATCAAAATTTAACTGCTAATACTTATATTTGGATATATCTAACACACAGATTAACAGCTTGAAGTAAATGAAAGAAAAGAAAAGAATTAAAACCAAAAATATAATCTACCATAATTATCTTGTTTTATATAAAATATTTTATCCCATGATAATTTACCAAATATTTTATAAAATATGTCAGAGGTTGATATGGAATCATCACAAATAAGTTAAGGTATCATCTTTACTCCCAAGGACAAGATAATATTTATCTTCAATATTACAGGTATTAAAGATTCTCCATATTTCAAATAACATACATGTCAATTTGTGGGCATGAGACTTTTGTTCTAAAAACCTCTCCCCAAGGGGGTGTCCGGGGCATTTCCCTTCCCCTGAAGGTTTTTCCCTAGATACCCGGAAATGTATTCCTTGCTACTTTATGCATGTATTTACAACTGAAAATCAAACATTTTTTTTGTGAATTTCTGCCATCCACGATCGAAAATAGAAGGCCAAATCAACTTAACTCTGGTGTAGTGCACCATTTACTTGTGTTCAAATGTATAATAACAAAACCAATCCTACTTTAAGTATATTAGATGATAAATATTTAGGGAGAGAGCTGGAAATTACACATATATTTCCTTATTAGAGGCAATATTGCATTTATGCTTGAGATTCTGGTCCTTAAACGTGAGAGCGTGAGACAGACCTCGAATGCGTGATTCTCACGCCGAATGCGTGAGACTTATAGCCCTGTCACTTGACGATTTAGTCAGCGTATCCCAAACATATCAAAATTTCTCTAACACGCTGGCATACGCTGAACTATCGATGCTTTTTTTCAACTTTGGGCACATTCATAGCGTATTGATAACGTCTGGAACACGTCAAATACGTCTACATATGTCAATATACATTGGAGATAAGTTTGTTATAAGTTACATATAACTTCGAAGCACTTTACTCATAGGTTAGAAATACGTTTTGACTTTTGAGTAACTTACAAGTAACATGTATCAACGATTGCTTAACTTACCTACAACTTATGGCCCACGTATGCAGAACGTACGAGTCATATACGCTGGCATACCTCAAAAAGTTTTATGCATGCTCAAACATTTTCGATGTACTCACTGTACTATGATGTATACCAGTGTGCTTCAGCGTGCTCTTAACTATACAAAACTTACCAATAACTTATTCGACCTATGCCAGCGTATTCGCCATTTTTTTCATATGTCGGCATACGCTGGCTAAATCGTCAAGGTGTAACAGGGCCATTAACGTGTATGGGATAAAGTTAAAGGTCATGTTTTAAAGTGGATAGTTCTGCCTCCTTGATTACACCCAGAGCTTTACATCAAAGATTTTAATAAGTGTCATATATCTTCAAATTCACTATTTTTGTGCTTGGAACAATTAGCAGATATTTCTTGAATCCCAATAGTATTTGCTAATAAAAAATTTCTATAAATCCTGATTAAAATTGCTATTGTCTGCTATAGTAATTTAGAAAGGTTTTTAAAATAGTTCATGTGAATATTGATAGGAGTGTTTTACATTTCAAAAGGATATCAAATGAAACACAAACAAAAAAGTATATTGAAATTTAAAAAATATGAGAACTGTATCCTTGTATCTGCAGTAAATCATTTATCAATTACTATATAGCTTAAACCCTGTCCAGATCACATTTCATTTGACAAAAACATGTGTCATGCCTAAATATGGTCATGATAACATCACATCATGACCATATATAGGAACACCATGACTGTATAATACAACAGCTTTTTGTCAAAGAAAATTTAATTTTGTGGACAGAACAGAATGATTTCTAAGTATTTCTAAATCATTAAATTCGAAATGATATTGTTGTACATTAAAATATTTTATTGAAGTAGGTGCATATAGCTTGGATACAAATATTGTTTAAACAGAGAAAACAATTACTTTCATAATTTCACAAAATCTATAAATCATCCATAATCATGAAAGTAATTGTTTAAACAGAAAAAAATTACTTTCATGATTATAGATGATTTGTAGATTTTGTGAAATTAAAGGTTCATAAAAATTAAGGGGTTAAAATTTAAAATATAATGCTACAATTTAAGAACCCTTAGGTGGAACAGATGTGTTGAATTATTACAAACACCTGGATAAATACCACATTTAAGCTTATGAATTATCATACAGTGACAGTGTATGAATCATATGGCCGGAAAAGTGATGGCACACTCTGGTTAAAATCAGGTATTCCTTCTTTTGAGTTGCAACTTGAGTACATGTACCAATTGATACAAAAACATTTTGTGAATTATGTTTATCTACTATGCACATAGATAGTACATACTGTAGCTACTACTGCATGACTGGGTGCGTACCTTTGGTCCTAAGGGTCTTTGGTCCGACGGCCCGTTGATCCGAAGGGTCTTTGGTCCAAAGTTCCTAATTTTAGTGAGTACCTTTGGTCCGAATGCCCTGTTGGTCCAAAAGGTCTTTGGTCCGAAGGCCCGTTGGTCCGAATGTTCCTAAATTTAGTAACCTGGTTTTCCTAGAATAATTGTTATGTCAGCTGGGCTCTTTGGTCGCCTTTAATTTAGGGACGTTCTTGACCACTAATGAGTTTTTTATCTGCTTCCTTGAGTGATTCTTTATTTTTATATTAATATATTATGTGATTTTTATATTATATGATTTATGCTTTTGTTGTATATATATTTATATATATATTGTGTTTGGAAGACCTTTGCTATTAGCTTAATGCTATTTGGACTTTCCGTCAATTGAATTGTTTGCTCATAGGATGTTGCATAGTTTGAGCATCTTGCAACAATCAATAATTTTTTATTGTTACTGTTATCTAATATAGGTCTATCATGTGTTGTATATTTTTTGTCCATATTTCAAATATATTAATTTCGGACCAATGGACCTTCGGACCGACAACCTTCGCACCAAAGGCTCTTTGGACCAAAGGACTTTCGGAGCAATGAACTGACCCCATATGACTTGTTGAAACTTACAGTGTTAAAAACTTCATAAGCTTACAGTATTATTAATTTCAGTTTGTTTATCTGAAATTAACATTTTGATACATATACCTTTATGATTTGACTATTTTATATACCATATTCAATAATCCATATTTTTTGTTTTCACGTCTGTCTGTCCGTCTGTCTGTTTATTAGGAAGTATGCAAAAAATAGGGAATTTCAAAGGACAATGTAAAGGTTATTGACTTTTGATATTTTACCCTTGAGCATAAAAGACAATACATACAGTGGCCTGCGTATTGGTCGGTATTCAGGCGCAGGGCAGAAAATAATGAATTGCCCATCATAGATAGCCTGCATACTGTTCAATGTTCAAACACATGATGGAGGTATGCACCCAATGAAGTGACTGCTCTAGTTTTATAAATTGTATTCATTGTGCAAGCCTGTAGGCAGGATTTTTAAAGGGGGGTTCTAATTGTTCGTTAAAAGGGCACTTTGAATCCTTACCCACCTCAGTCCCACCATGGCTGGGGTAAATTTTAATGATATAACACCTCATGATGTCAATAAAAATGCCAAAATAATTTTTCAATGTTTTTACTTAATTTCCATATAAATGGTACTTCTTAATCTTCTTAAAAGGGCATTTCTGGAAAATGGGAGTTCCTTCGAACAGCCCTTGGTACGGTACATTACATGTAGTTTTGTGAAATTAAATTACATTAAAAGAAGAATTTATTCCCTATAAGCACTGAATGTGCAATACAATAGTATTTACCTTCTTGAGTATAGGATTATTTTTGCAATCTGATTGTGAGATGCATTACCCTGTCTTCCGTGTTTGGATAACAACTTTACGTTGTGATGACATTATTGGTGTGCAAAACATGGATTTGTAGAGCATAAATAGATATTTTGAAAAAAAATTTCCCACTGCTGGTACTGCAATTGCTGAAATGCTGTGCTGACTTTGTTTTCTGATGTAAGCTAAACCATAGTGAACTGTTTGCTGCTTGCATCTGGGAAAGCTTTCTCACACTGAGTGGTGGAATGGTACAGGGAACTGTATACTATTTAACCATGGAGCATGATTTAACTAACAAAATATACTGTATGATTGGAATTATAGAGGTCAGTACAGTCTGTATAAACAGGTCATGGACAGGAAGTTGCTGGAGATTTTTAGGTCTTTGAATTGATGACTGACAAATCTGCAAGGATTTTGAAATAGGCTGCACACACATTATTGACATTTTATTGGTTGCTAATTTCACTATATGATAGGCTTGATGCTAAAGAACAGACCTCTGACCTCAGTTAGAACATGATTTAATTCATTTTTTAGCTTGTAACCAGTGATGGCTCCAGACATTTGCCAAAAGGGCTCAAACATGTCCGACAAGAGGTTTGAAACAAGGGACCATTTAGGGCCATTGATCTGGGTCCAGGGGTAAAATAAAAGCTCTAGTGAGGTCAAAGGCAACCCCTTGCCAAAAAGTGACTTAGGGTTTGGAATTTTATTAAAATGATACAATATTAAGGAAAAGCAAACAAAATATTTGATTGAATTGGCAAATTACATTTTTATCAGATGATCCATGTTTTCCAATTTTGGGGAGGGGGAAATAACCCTGCTGAGGCCAGCACTGTGCATAGTCCTACATGCAATTGGCTATTGAATTATCCATCCTATATAAAGCTTATATTTTTGCTAAGGTCCCCCCTATGTTGTCCGAAGTGGTTATATATTCAGTGGCGGTGCCAACTGGGGACAGGGGTCCCCACTGGACAGGTCAAGGCCCTCCCAATGTCGGACAGCTTAGCCCCCAACCCCCCCCCCACCCCCCCCCCCCAAGAAAAAAAATTAAAAAAAAAAAACCCAGAGCCGCCATTGTATATATTAAGAAAAGAAGAATCATATGACGGTTGCCATTGAAGCTATTAACCTATTTTATTAGAAGAGACTACACACCAGTTTCTAATTTCCCTTTGAGTCAACTTGAATTATTCCTAAAACCTAAGATTAGCTTTTTCAAGGATGTAAATTGTTGTACCACTCACTCCTGCAACTATTTCCTGAAGTACAATTACCACATACTGTTTGTGGAAAAGCAGACTACAGACACACAGTGCTAAAGGAGCAAAGAACACCCTCTATATTATTTAAACATATAGGTTTTTTTAGTTTATTAAATTATTTCTATCTTCTCATTGTTTTAAAGTGCTCAACACAAGAGTATGTCAAAATTATAGCCTACATCACAATTCAATAAGATGACAAAATAATTTTAAGAGAAAGAAATATGAAAATGTATAAATATAGTAATATATAATAATACATAAAATAAATAATTATATAAACAAATAAATAAATTATGAATAAGAACAGCAAAAATCATAAAAAAAAATTTATTGTAAAAAATTAAATAGTATGAATATGAACAGAGCTAATAGCATGGAATTCGAACTCTGTCAATCCAAGTGAAAACCCTGTGAAGCAAGAAAACCAGAACTCTAAAGTGTAACCAGTCACTCTGATTATTAGAACTCCTTTTAAGAAGTAATTTCGATTTAAGCGTTTTTTTTCATCATCTGTATGAGTCAGATTTAACTGAGCATGACAGAGCTTTTCACAATTTATTGTTTCTGTGCCATTCATTTCAAGTTACCATTACGATTGATTCAATGCAATTTTGATACAGCTTTGGAAGCCATCAAATGCTGTTATCTGCCACAACAGAAACACTGATTAATTTTAATGAGCATGGTGACAGATTTCTAGATTCTCATTATCACTTTGACAAACATTTCACTGGAAAACTCATTTTTCTGAATAGAAGGTTCATGAATCATTATCATGTTTTGATGTTACCTCCTGTAGCTGTGGTTTGAGATCACAAATGCTGCTACGTATTAGTATTGTCGAAGAATATATTTACCGCTACATGTTGCATCCAGTATGTATCCCAACCAATTGCAAATACCATGGGAAGCTTGAATTCTTTAGCATTATGTGCATTGAAGGATGTACAGGTATTATTAAAATGCTTCCTATTACCAAAAATACAAAGATGCAGTACAGTAATCCCTTAATGTTTCAGTTCCCATTCCGTTTCCATTCTGTGCCCATTCCATTCCCATTCTTTTCCTATTTCGTTCCTATTTGGTTGCTAATTTTGTTCCTATTTATAATAAAATACATATATACTGCATTGGGCACTCTTGTCTACATGATCTGGTTTAAGCCAACCACGCAGATTAATAAAATACATAGAAATGTTCTTGCTCCTGAGACACCGTTTTGTAAACTAGTTTGGTCATTGTGCTTAAAATGTAAAGAGAAAGATTTTTTAGAGCATGGTTAAAGAACCCCAAAACCATGCAACTAATCTATTTGTAAAAAACAGTAGGAAATGCCCCTTTTTCCCAGTTTTTAAATATTCAAAAATCTGTATCTCATTAACTGTTCTGGAGGGGTTTTTTTTGTCAAACATCCGTTTTGTGAAGAAAAATCATTTGTACATTATCCAATTTTGTTGCCAATGGAATCTGGCTTTAAGACTTCAAATTTCTAAACCTTTTATATTATGCTACATAAACCAGTTTAGCTAGGTAGTAGTCCGAGGCTCATTAATTTAAATTTAAACATTTTAAATGGCATGGATATTATGTTTCAATGGATATCTTTGTCAAACTAGATAACAATTTAAGAACTTATTAAAAGTTAAAATTAAAGGAGAGATTTGTTTGAACATGGTTTGAACACAAAGTAATTATTCTATGAAATTCTTTGCCAGATAAACTTGTTTGGAACTGGCAGCAGGCCCGTACGCAGGATTTTTATTGGGTGGGTGCGAATTTGTGTAAAGTGGACCAAAATGTTGGGGGGTGGGGGTGCTAAAAACAATCTGCCACTGGTTTTGAGAGAAAACACTATTCAGTGTTCTTATTTTCAAATGTTCTGTAGTCTATCAAAAATGTTGATGGCCTAATGATTAATATCAACTTTGATATGTTAAGGAAACTGATCTATACAAAATTTAATCAATCTAATTAAAAAAACTGTGGAAATGTCATTAATTATACTACGGGTATTAATATGATTAAAATTTTAAAAATCGTAAATAAATCGAGGTCGGAGTAAAATAAATCCCTTGGACATACACATAGCCTAGATGTGAAACATGCTGCTTCCAACCACGTGGTGTTTCAGATTTTCACTGCATATGTCAATAGACTATATAAAATTATAGAACAAGGTAAGACCAAATAAAAAAATATACTTGTTAAGCGTCACCTCAAAACTTTTCAGGGGCTGGAGGGCGTTCTCTGCAACGGTATTCGGTTTCAGTTTATGTCACTGTTTTGGCTTGTACATAAAAGAAAGTCTACAATTGAGTCAGTACATCTTTTTTAAACATTGAGAAACACATTTAGGATCATTTATATATGCAGCCCATGAATTGTCACAGCAAAGAATTGCAATTTTGCCAGCCTAGAGTAGGCCTAGGATTTCTTAGCTTCAATAACTGTATGAATGGGTGGCAAGCCAAAACTTTGACTAAAACTGGCCATAACAGAAACTAAATTTTATGTACGTAGTCAAACCAAGGTACATAATATATTTGTTTGTTCAATATTTATTTTTGGCAAGTCCAAGCCTACGTACGATTGTGTGTGTGAATTGTCTTGACTTTCTCGACTAGGGGCCCTTACCAAAATGGCCAATTCATTCCAATTGGAAAAAATCATATTGGATCCAATTGGAAAATACATCATTGGATTTTGGCACTTTCCAATTGGAAATTACATCATTGGATTTTGGCACTTTCCGATTGAACTTGTTTCCAATTGGACTTGTTTCCAATTGGATGTTATTAGCTCAATTGGAAAAATTCCAATTGGAAAGTGCCAAAATCCAATGGGATAAAAGTGGATTTTGGCACTTTCCAATTGGGATTTATCCAATTGAATATTATAAACCCAATTGGATAATATTCCAATTGGAAAGTGCCAAAATCCAATGGGATAAAATTGGATTTTGGCACTGTCCAACTGGAATTATATCCAATTGGGTATTATAAACCCAATTGGATAAAATTCCAATTGGAAATTGCCAAAATCCCATTTTATCCCATTGGATTTTGGCACTTTCCAATTGGATATTATAAACCCAATTGGGGCCGGTAACATTCCAATTGGAAAGTGCCAAAATCTAATTTTATCCAATTGGATTTTGGTACTTTCCAATTGCAATTTTATCCAATTGGAATTTTATTCAATTGGATAACATAAAAGAGATGGACACCAATTGGAAAATGCCAGAACCAAATGAGGCCTCAAAGAGGTTGAAAAACACTGCTAAATACTGAAAAAAACGAAAGAAAAAGAAACAATTGTTATTTGCAATTATTTTATTTATTTAAAATACAAAAATGAAATACTGCACAAAGCCTGTTCGTTAAAAATATTCTATAGTAATGTTATGGAATATAAAACTATTATTCACAAAACATATTTTAAATCTGGTTTCTGTTAAATTATATACAGTCATACCTACAGTAATAATTATTATGTACTGGCACTTTAAGTTTTGCAGGTCAGCAATCTTCTTAACCATGCTGTTACAGTAACTTTGCAATTGTCCTAGTAGTTCTCTATAACTTTCTGAAAAACAATAATATTATAAAGATTAATTTTAAAAGCTAATCAGCATGAGGGAAATTAATTTCATTTCACATGTCCCGGGACAAGTAGCTTAAAAAATTCAGTTGTCCTGAAAACATATACTTCCCAAAATGTACTCATTGGGAAGTATTTTAAGTGGTGCTAGCGAATGGCTAGAGTGAGGAACTACATGCATATTTAAGTATCCAACTCGCCCTCTTTTAATATTCTTTTCCTGGTTGACAGCTTGAAACGCACACTTACATTTTTGGCAAACAAATTTATTTTTTGGAGTGGTCGATATCAAAAATTGCAATTCCCATAGCCTTGGCACTTGTTGGAAAGTTGAAGTTAAAATGTAATGTTTAGTTTCAACAGCAGAAAATACCTGACATCAGATATACTTGAAGAGCCTTTGCTTCAAAATTCAGTTAATCTGTTAAAAACAATCAAAAACAATATAGGCCTAGAGATAAAAAGCAGTTTGATATATTGATACTGATGATATTATAATAATCATTCATTAATTATCAACAATAATTAATTTAACAGTACTACTAGGCCTAGCATGCCTTTATCTAGGGCTAGGCCTAGAAAGGCCTAGAGATATAGCCATCCTTCCCTATGCTAGGCCTCTGGGCTCACATACTGTAGGCCTACCAATACTAGCCTAGGCCTAGTACTAGTAATAAAAATGGTATCCCCCTGCTGGCCTAGGTTAGGCCATTATACTATCTAACTCAACAAATTTAAATTTAAAAAAAAATAAAAAAGTTTAAAACAAATATGAAATAATCTGAACTAGGCTAGGCTTATGCTTGGCCTAATCATTACCCTGTTATTATTGAGTTAGGCTGTGCAAGCATAGCCTAGGCTTGGACAGGCCTCGATATGGCATATGTAGCAGACAAAGCCTAGCCCCACCTACACAGCCATATCTACCCATCCTGAAGGCCTTCATGCATAAGGAAGGCTATGCACTGCACTATTCTAGCCTAGGCCCCTCAGGTCACCCATGGCATTTGGCTGGCAATGTTCGATTTTTAAATTCAGTTTCTAATTAATCTAAACCAATAATCATTTCAAAAAATGTCTAAGAAAGGACCAGGCTTAGTATTGTATTAAATAGTTTAGGAATTTGAACACAAAATTGATAAAATACTTACTTTTTATGAACAAAAACAACTCAGAGCAGGACAGCCTGTCATATGCTCTCACCCATTGTGCAAAAACTGTCTCTTATACACATCTAGATGTGTATAAGAGACAGCTTTATAACTTTTATCACGCAGTTGTCCAGAAACCTGTTAATACTGCATTCTGATTGGTCAAATAAATCCCAATTGGAATTAACACAATCCAATTGGATAATTGTTATCCAATTGGAATTTAAAGACAATCTAATTGGATAATTGTTATCCAATTGGAATTTAAAGACTATCCAATTGGATATTTGTTATCCAATTGGAATTTTAAAACAATCCAATCGGATATTTCTCTTCCAATTGGAATTGAAAAACAATCCAATTGGATATTTGCTATCCAATTGGAATTTCAAGACAATCCAATTGGATATTTCTTATCCAATTGGAATTTAAAGGCAATTCAATTGGATATTTGTTATCCAATTGGAATAAGTAAAAATTCCAATTGGATATTTATAATTCAATTGGAAATCTGTTCCAATTGGATTTGTTTTTTTTAGTTCAATTGGTATTTGTTATCAAATTGGATTTAAAAAAAAAATTTCAATTGGAGATTAATTGTCCAATTGGATTTTTCCAATTTCTAATTGGTCATTTGTCATCCAATTGATTCCAATTGGATTTATAAAAAAAATCCTATTGGACATTTGTTATCCAATTGATCTCAATAGGAGTTTTTCCAAAATTCCAATTGGAATATTTTTTTCTTAATTGGAACCAATTGGATCCAATTCATTCCAATTACAATCCAACTGACTCATATTGAATCCAATTCAATTTCCAATTGGAATGAATTGGTCATTTTCGTAAGGGTAGTTTAGGCCTAGGCATATACAAACTATTCAAACATTAGACAAACAATCAACACTATTTTAAATAAAGTGCATTAATTTACATGTTAATTACTAGATCCATGGAACTATCTAGGACCTACTACTACTACAGCTAGGCATTACTAAAATGCGAGTTTATTCGTCGTGGAATGTGGATGTTCCGATGATGCCTTGAAAGCTAGCTCAAATTTGCGCGGAAAATGGCTTGGAAAAATGTGCACAGAACTTAACTTCTGCATAATACATTGGCAATGGTTATATACAGTATTCAGATTAGTTCAAAGACTAATTCTCTGCATTCTTCTCGGAAATGTAACCACCTGCCTTAGGCGTGGCCCTGCTTGTTCCATGCTGGATCAAAAACTTATAATAAGTGTTAAAGCATTAGATGTGTATAAGAGACAGTATATATATAGGTATTTCATTCAAACATCCAGTGTAAACAAATAATACATAGGGCCTGGATGAACATTATGTAAGTTGAGAGTAAGATAAAAAGCAGAACTTGTCTTCAGAAAGACGGTAAAAGACGGTAAAATTGAAGTTAGCACAGCCTTTTATATTTCCGTCTATTTGTATGCTAACACGTACCAGCCTCTTTCCTACGAAATGAAGTCCACTGTGAAATACTGTACGGTACATCTTATACTGAGTGGTGTATACGAAATAGGCTTCAGATTGGACTTAAAGCCATCATCTTCTTTTGATTGGTCGTTCAATTTCAATTTTCCCACCAAAAGATTTTCTCTCTATATGCGGACCGTTAAGATAACCACTCACTGTGCTGTGATTGGTTGAGCCCAAACCCGTATAGTGTAGCACTGTAGCAGGCGTAGGCGGAAAGATTTAGTCTAAGCCAAAACTAGTCCTGGCTGGACCAATATTATCCTAGGAGGACTGATTTTGGCGGCTAAAATCGGTCCCCCGGACAAATTTTATCGGCCAAAATCAGTCCCCCGTACTAATAATGGCGGCCAAAATCGGTCGGGGACACCTATTTTGGCCCGGACCAATTTTGGCGTGACAGGCCAATTGAAGCTAGGTAGCTGCCTAGATCGTAACACAAATCTTATTTGTCTTCATTGTAGAGTATTATTTTCCTTTACACAAAATTGTTAATTATCTAAAAAAACAACCAAATTAAACATGTACATAAGGTCTATGTAGGCTTACATACTACTCTACCGATGATGTCTGTGACATACACTACATGTGATGATGTTGGTGGCGCACTTCACAGCTTGTCCCCTGCACTCAAGATGAATAATAAAATTTTCCGTCAATTATCGGCATTTTTTAGTTGATTTTCATTTTTTCAAAAAAAAAAGAAGGGCATGCGGTGACGCTTAACAAGTATATTTTTTTATTTGGCCTAAATAAAACATTAATAAATTTAAACATATAAGAAATAATTGTAGGTCTAGCACACAATGAAAAAACCTATAATATTATTAGGTATTGAAAATACTAAATTTTTACCACAAATGTAGATGTTATATTATAAATAAATGAAATTAATGGAAATTGCGAATATGAACAAATAATGACAATCGCTTTACGTCGTGGATGAGATGGGTAGACGTCAAAAATATTAAAAATCGAGAATTCATAAAATAAGCCTATACTGATCTGATGGGGAACAGGGTAGGGAAAGCAATAAATCACTTTGTTGTTGTTTTTAAGTAAATACATCCTCACTCTTCCGGGCCAGATAGGAACTTTAACTTTACTGTATGGGGCCGTGGCAGATTCAGGAATTCGAAATAGAAGGGGGTCCAAACTGATCTGATTGGTCAAGCATTTTTGGTGGATGGATTTCTGTAGCATGTGAGAGTGTATCGTGAATTTTCTACACAGGGAAATGTGGACCTTTTGTAATTTGGGGGGGGGGTCGCATCCTCCCTGCGTACGGGCCTGGACAGTGAACAGACCTTACAGAGGCAAGAAAACAAGTAAACATGATCATATCCTGTTCTATATTCTTTTCTGTTGAATTATAATAAGTGTTAAAGCATTCAATTTTATTTAAGAAAAGTGTAAAGAGATGAGTAAATTGTAGTTCGTCCTTTAATCTAGAAAAAAAAAGAAGGGCATGCGGTGACGCTTAACAAGTATATTTTTTTATTTGGCCTAAATAAAACATTAATAAATTTAAACATATAAGAAATAATTGTAGGTCTAGCACACAATGAAAAAACCTATATTATTAGGTATTGAAAATACTAAATTTTTACCACAAATGTAGATGTTATATTATAAATAAATGAAATTAATGGAAATTGTGAATATGAACAAATAATGACAATCGCTTTACGTCGTGGATGAGATGGGTAGACGTCAAAAATATTAAAAATCGAGAATTCATAAAATAAGCCTATACTGATCTGATGGGGAACAGGGTAGGGAAAGCAATAAATCACTTTGTTGTTGTTTTTAAGTAAATACATCCTCACTCTTCCGGGCCAGATAGGAACTTTAACTTTACTGTATGGGGTCGTGGCAGATTCAGGAATTCGAAATAGAAGGGGGTCCAAACTGATCTGATTGGTCAAGCATTTTTGGTGGATGGATTTCTGTAGCATGTGAGAGTGTATCGTGAATTTTCTACACAGGGAAATGTGGACCTTTTGTAATTTGGGGGGGGGGTCGCATCCTCCCTGCGTACGGGCCTGGACAGTGAACAGACCTTACAGAGGCAAGAAAACAAGTAAACATGATCATATCCTGTTCTATATTCTTTTCTGTTGAATTATAATAAGTGTTAAAGCATTCAAGAAAAGTGTAAAGATATGAGTAAATTGTAGTTCATCCTTTAATCTGGTGACATAGGGAAGAAGTCTGCAGATAGGAAAGATCACTCTTGAAGCAATTTATTTTTCGGCTGCAGTGAAAGGAGGTGAAGATTGATTATCATAGCAGTATCTGTTGAGGAAGATTAAAAGTTAATTGCAACCAGGCGACCTTTGTAGCAGAATAATGAGAATTGGATTGTGTGGAGTGAGTAAGGATTTATGATTCAAGTTAATGTTCAAATTGTTTCCTCATCTATACTAGTACCATATGCTAAATGTTTTTAACATGGCAGACCAGCAGTACAAAATAATTACAGATTTTTAATAATTTGCATAAATGTTTTTTCACTCAGTACATTCATGGAGCATAGTCAACAAATACATGCTGTCTTTCATCATAACCAATGAAACCTTACAAGTGGTTCATTTTATAACAGTTTGCATTCATACAAAAGCTAAAGTTAAACACTGAAAATAAAACATATAATAAAATATAAAGCACAAATAGAAAACAAACAACAAAAACACCAAATAGCCATGCTGTTACTATCCCATTTACCAGCAAACCCTTTAAAAGTGCATTCAGGCGGGTTGGTGAACCAGGTTTTGGGCATTGCTGTTTCTCAATAAATTACCAGTATGGTATTTAAAAACCAGGCTGGAAAATTTTAAAAACCTGTTGTTCAAAGAAATTTGGCATTTTTATTACCTTAGCTATAATTTCAGATAAAAATTATAATAGATATGCTTTTGAATTTTAAAAATCAATGACTTATGTCAGAAGTTACAACATTGTTTTTGATTTAATTGTGCTAGTCTTCTTAAGAACTATTCACAACAAAAGAGCTTCACTGTTAATCTTGTTACAAAATACCCTGAAGCAGTAATTAATAGAGATAAGAAGAGATTGGCAAAACCTGGTTCAAAAATTGAAAATTTGGTAAGTGGTGAAGTTTCCTCATGCAAAGTTCTAAATAAAAATGTTGGAGACAATACATCTTTAAAAGCTTTAATTTATATTAAAAAAGTCTGATTTTCTGTGAGTTGAATAGCTTTAGTAATTTGCCTCCTAGTTGAGCGAAGACCTAGCCATAGAATCTCCTCCTCCAAAGTCTACTAGATCGTTTGAGAACTCAGAAGTTGTTAGGGTGATGTAGAGGAAAAAATATGATTAATGAGTCTGCCATAAGAGATCCACAGAGATAATGTCTACTGTGAATGTTATTTATAATGCCATAAATATCCAAGAGTTCATCTTGTTTGACCTGAAATTAGAAGCCATAACAACCCATAATAAGGTGGCACAAAGAAGTTGCCTTTGGCATCTATCTTCATTTGAGGTGTCTGCAAATGATTTTATCATCTACGTACATGTCAGTGAGTCAATGTGCGCTTCAGTGTGCAAGCCTTCTTTACTTGGAAAATTTTAATTAACATGTTCTCCTGAGCTGAGCTGCTGCGATGACCCCACTATTAGATTTCGTTACTAGGCAGTATTGAATCTTAATTAGCTAATGATGACATTGAGCTGTGTCTTCCAATTTTGCCATAGAAAGACTGATTATAATTATGTACCGAGGAGTCTCAAGAATAATCACTGTGGTGAGAAAGTTTTCAAAGGATGTGTTTCTGTGACCAAATACCATGTTACTTTTATTGGTTAATCCAGGTCATGGTAAAATTATTATTTCACCCAAAGTGCAAAGTCTTTAATATTCTTTCAGGCTTTATTTTAAACCACATGACACATTAGCTTGATTATACCTGGTTTATATGGAGTTTGCATGGCTAATGACTTAATGTAAATATTCAGATGCAAAAACAACCAAACTCATCTACTGTACATTATCTTTAGACAGAAATTCATCAGGATTTATTTACAGTAATATGATAAAGTATATTCCTTACTAAAAAATTCCAGCTTTTCACTTCTCCAGACTGAAAGTGAAACTTCGCAAACGTAAGTGAAAAGAAGTTGGCATTTTTGAAAAGAAAACATAGTTTATCATCTTCTACTTTTCTGTAGAAGTGACCTACAGAATCCCCCATCCTCAAAATTAAGTAACCAAGTTTTAATTTCTGCCATCTAGGCATATATGCTGCTAGTTGTACACAGGAAAACTGTAATGATGTTGGCTTCAGAAATTTGCCGACAATGTGTTTGTTTAAACAGGTCCAAAAGAGTTATCCAAACCAATTGGCTACCTAGGGCAAGCCCGTAGCCAGGATTTTGGTAGGGGGGTTCTTTTTGATACTGAAAGGGCACTTGCGGGCACCATTGGCTGGGGCCAGAGGGGCTGCCAAGGCATATATATATATATATACACACAGGTGAAACTATCCCCCGCCAGACACCATCGCGGTATTCCTGAGGCAAGGTTTCGGGGCCTGATTTTTTTTATGTTACTAGGTAGGCCTAACAATCGGGTATTAAAATAGGACTTTTAATGATGGTAGGCTCTAGGCTAGGCCTAAAGTTTAGGCTAGCCAGCCTTTGTTGAAAGGGCACTTCATGAAAAGGGGGGTTCGTTCGAACCCAACGAACCCCCCTGGCTACGGCCTTGTAGGGTAAAAGAGTTGGCATCAAAGGAAAGATATATTATTGTTTAAATAGTAAGAACTATGCTTTTAACACAATATTAGCAAATGCAATTACAGTAGTTTGATTGAAAAATTGATATCTTTTCACACAGACAGATCTCTGATTATAGAAAATTAAGTCTTCTGTTACGGTAAATATCCACATTACATACGTCCCAGCAAACACAAAATATTCTTATAACATTCTAGAACGCTGTGGCTTTGGTATGTCGCAAAATAACGGTCACACAACAACGTAGGAACCTTTAAGTGTTATGATGTTGTGAAATTAGGTTATAAGAGCTTATGATTCTACAAAATAATTTTTTTAACACAAAACTGTAACGTTATAACATTCTTGTAACGTAATAATTGTTAGCTGGGATATACCGTATATGTTTTTTTCATTCTGTGCAATTCTATGTTTCTGTTTTTCTTCCAGAGGAGTATGCCGCAAACACCCTCATTTGCGAATCTCTTCAAAGCTGTAGAGGGAGAAAGTACTATGCCAAAAATGTGCAATGGTCATGTGACATCCTCAGAGACATCCTCCAACGTGGTAGAGTCAGAAGAAATCGAAAAAGACAAGGTAAGCAACGATTTTAAATTGTACTTTCTTTAACATATACTCTGCAAAGTACTGTATACCAATATTTCAAGAAAAAATCGAGGATATGTGATAGAGTAAATAGATAATGTTGATAATTATAATGAGAATAGTTTCTCATTATTGTTGGGCTTGAATCCATTTATCGGTTGGTTTCCTTAAGTATCACAACCTGAAGCGTATTAAACCAGAAAATTGGCGTGGATGTCATAAAACGTCAATGAACAATGCTTTGCACACACACACACCGTCTGCAAGTAATGGAATCATTTCAATGAAATATCTGTCGTATAGATTATTGTCTGGAGTGTTTGATCCGCTGGCTTTGTTAGCGATCGCATCAAATATGGAGCATTCCCCAAAATCTATGTTCACAAGTTGTCATTGCAGTTGATGGAAATTTTTAAAGCCTATCGGCGATATTACTCAGTAACTGAACTTGTGGTTGAAACAACCTAGATATAAATCGGTCATTCAATAAAAAGTGATCAATAAAGGTAGAATTACGTGTAATATCTCTTTGCAAGTTTAACAAATTGATTCGTCCACATTCTAGTATTACTTAAATCTAGACCAAGATCATCTTGGCAATATTACATTAGATGTTTCTGACTTTGAATAGTGAGCTTGCATTAGTGCAAATTATCACAGATACACGCAAATCGGCTGTGATAGCGCAAGTTCTGAATTTAATCTTTCCAAATGCATCCTTGTATTTCATGATAATACTGAAAATGAAACAGGATATCATGTTTCTATCGTATGACATGATCATGTTTTATTTCATATCATATTTTATCATGTGCTCAAAAAGCATTTTGTTTTAATCTGTGGGGACCGTAAATAAGGATGCAGTAGTGTTGGCAATAATTTACTATGCACTATTTATTCATACAAAACAGAAAATAGTTTTATTTTAGGGAAATAAAATATGTTTCTATTGGCAACGAAGTATACCCACAAATTGTAAGCCCTGATCAATTACTGTATAACCCCTTGTATACCCTCATCCCTGATATTTTGCTGATGTTACTGCATACCTCATACATTTTCCTAGTCCTCCCTGTCACCAATATATTATATTACAAGCAGAAGTATTCTATGAAATGCTTTTACCCCATTTGTTGCCAATCAAATTACAGTGTTCAGTGTCAAGGTGTTGTGATTTGTGTGATTTGTTGTTATTAGCAACTCTACCAAATCAATAAGTATCATTGACATAAGGTTTGAGTAAGATTATCAAGGATATAGAAAGCATTGCTGGAATGTGATATTGGCTGAAAAGTACTACACATTTGAGTAAGCTAAACAATGTTTGAGAAGTGGTAGAAATAAATAAAATAAGATTGATAATTAAAAGATGAAGATGTAAGATATGATCATTCCAATACTACTGTACTCTGTAACCATTGTGTGAGACTGTACCTGACACCTGTTCAAATCCAATCATCAGCATCATTCTGTGGTAATCACTTTGCTTCAAGGCTCACAGTAGCAGAGCAACCATTTTCATTACTTTAAATTTGTGCATTTGTCAGTCTAGAATGTCTTCAAGTTTATTTTGGAATTAGAATGTTGCAGATATTTATAAGAGTCTCCTAAGTGCATAGCTAAGCCCATAGGCCTAATAATATCCACAAGGAATAACAGAGTCCTGGAAATGATTGATCCATGATGGAATTAGTGATTGATTGAGGGAATTAATTGAAAAGTCTTCAGAGTTTACAATCCCACAATGCTTTGAGAAAGGATTGTTAAATGCATACAGCAGCCGCTGTATGACGTAGACTAATATGATGGCCCACTAGCTTGGGGTTTTCCACAAAACACGAGGCCCGATGCGATGTGATGGTGGTCGAAAGAGTATATCCTAGTATCGTTAATAATAATTTAATAAGTGATTTTGTGTTATCGTCAAATATGTAAAATACATTTAAATAATGTATGAAATAATTTATAATGCTCTGCGTGGGTCGCTTTTTTACACGGTGTACGTACTTGTGTTGTAGAGAGAGTAATTTCGGAAGCAGGCTAGCCTAGCCTAGGGCCCAGATCTTGTATGCTCTTGATTATCGCGGTGACAACTTCGGGTGAAATATGATTGGGCCCAACTTTGAATATACTGTAGTCTAGTAAAACCACCGCTAGCTCCCCACCCCTGATATCATTCAAAACTAAAAAGAAAATACTGTATAGGCCTAGGCCTACATAATTTTCTCAACTTTTGTGATAGGCCTACATATTCAGCAAACTTTCAAAGTACAGGGAACCTTATTTATTGGTGTGCTAAAAATATTAATTTGCCTATCAAATAACTAAACGTTATCTCTCCCACCTCCCTGAACCTACCAGAGATTTTTTCTGGTACCCTCATCGAGGCAGGGACATCTCTGGATCCGCCCCGTCAGGACTGTAGTCGGCCTCTTGGTTCGGACTCCATTCTCGAACACTTTGGACACCATGTCCTGTCAGCAAGTTTTGGCTAATGATTTTTAACAAATTTCGTCAAATTTTGGCTAAAGACAGCTTCAATTGGCTAAAAAAAAATTGTTGACGTTAGCCAATTGGCTAAACAAAAATATATGTTAGAGTGACCCCAGTATAATATTTTGAATTTTATCTCTTTTTGTTCTGTACTGATCCAAATTTATATAATTATGTATATAATTAAAACAGTGACCAAATTGTGGATTCCAAAGACTACTTTGATAATACTGAAATTATTAATGGTAGTGATAATAATAAATAATACTTGTTAATACATTATAGAATGTCCAAGACAATTCAAAAACAAGAAAAATAATTTTTGATAAATGTAGAGAGAAAACAGAGAGAAATTTTCCCTTTTCTCATAATAGAAAAACTGAAGCTCAGTAACTTTTATTACAAATAACCAATTTCCTCTCAGCTCCAAAGGGCTTGCTACATCTAAAGAATTCTGTAACCTTCTATTAGTACAACTAAGAATCTGTTTTCCACTCTAATCTAGGTTAATATATGTCCACAAGCAGTGTGCTAAAAGAAAATGTAATTGTCCTTCCTTCAGTTTACATAAATATGCATTTTTGTACATAATGTAACATGATCTTGATGATCAGTACTATTACTCCAGCAAAAGCCCTAATTTGTTAAAGCCATAATTATGTTAGTATACAACTTATTGGAAAGTACAGATTTATTTGCATAAAGCAAATTTAACACACACATAGTAAGAGATCATTTGATGTTACTATTAAAAGTAAGTTATTACCCTTGTTTATATTATTCCTCTGTCAGAGACTACTTGTTATATCCTGAAATGGAGATTATCTGCTTTAATTTGAATGATTACATTAATCCAAAGGTAATCAATCTATGATAGGACACTAGTAGGGTTTAGCATATCATGGTGCTGATTTTTGGAACAGACTGTAAGTAAAACAACAAATTATAGTTTATTTTGTAGTATAGTATCCATTTGGGGATTCCAGCTTTTCTATTTTTTTCTCCTTTTCTTAGTTTGTATTCTATGTTTTCGTACTTTTATAGATAAGTTTGTTTCATAACGTATAAAAGATACAGCCTCGTGAAAGAACGCATAACATATAAAAGATACGGCCTTGTGAAAGAACGCATCCTTGGTGAACAAGCTTCCATTAAAAAATAAAGATTTTATTATTATTTATTATTATTATTACCATTTTAACTGCTCTCATTTTCACTTTTCTCTATAATTTTATGGAAAGCGCATAGAGGCTCTAGTGGTATGCTCTATACAAGCACAATTAATAATAATAATATTATTTCAGTATTTATTTAAAAACATAATATATATATCCTTATTTGATTGAGAGAATATTTATTGTCATTCAAACATACAATTATAAATTTGAATATAAGAGTTACATTTATGCTTCATTATACTTTTTGATGAGCAACTCATAAGCACTTAAAATTTCAGTGTCTAATTTTTTCAGTTCATTCATTAACACATCCATAGCAACATTGCAATAACAGTTTATTTTATTGGCATTAGGTTTCTGAAATTCAAACCAGGGTAATACCAGATTTAAATCCTTGGGAGGTATAACATGTGAAAATTAACCTCTTGTATCTGGAAGTTTTTAATCATCAGAATTTTGTCATGGTGTACAATGCATGCTCTCTGTCCCAGTTTCTCTGAATGAATTTATGCTTCATATCCCTGTTGGCAATAAGTAATTTATGACAATTGGTTTTCAAGTTTATTGTTTCTCCAGTAGTGTATTAATCAATCAATATTATAGGTGTTTATATTATAAAGTCATCTTGTGTGTGTACTGTACAGTATGTGTGCATTAGCATTTTCATTCACTTTTGTTATACAGTATACTTACAGTAGAATAGAATATGTATGTGTTTTATTCCCGAGATAATGTTCACTCTCGAGGCATATTGAAGGTTTTCTTCTTTATTTCAGTTTTTATTAGGCATATGCATACACACGTTCATGTCTTTTATACACATCTGTAAATTATATTTATAATTATTATATTATTATTAGTTTGCTTGTACCACAAAACAGAGTGATACAGTTCGCCCTCCCAATTCGAGACTGCCTCTAATTACAAGACCCTCTAATTTAAGACTTCTTTTCAAAGTACCAACTATTAACAGTCTTCCAATATTTTAACAAACTAACTGTTTATTTGGAGACCGATTAAACCAGAGATTATCACGCAATTTCAGGTCCAATAGATGATGAGGAGGTTAAACTGTACATAATAGTCTTGCTTACATTGCAGGAGATCATTGTGAAGATCGCGTTTATCCGATGATATTGGTGTGGCCGTATAAACAGAGGTAGTAACTCCGCATAATGGATCAGTAACCGCGATGATCTAGAGAGTTACCTCCACATCACAGTGGTGTACAGAGGTCATCGGCATGATCTTTATGCAAAGTATCTGTTGTTTGACCTCTGCGAATCATCACGGAATTGGCAGAGGTCAGTTCTAATCACGTAACTTCCAGGTACAACCAATGATTTTTCTTTTATCCTGTAGACAATCGACTGGAGATTGTAATGGATGGATAATATGTTGAACTTGATATTGTCTTTTATGCTTATTTTCGTATTTTATATATTTTTTTTAGTAAGTTGTGTGCAATAATCTTTTAATTGATGTCACTTAACTTGTTTACTAGCTTCAATAGTAAAGGTCATTTTCTGACCGTGATCATGACCTTTCCTGTTTATTGCCTAATCAATATATAGTATCAATAATGAACTATCATGAGATGGTAGTATTTGAAGGACCATTATTAAGGTTGATAAATAGAGTGTCTGGCTCTGGTTGCTTGATGTTGAGTCCAAAGGTATATTGAAGGTTTTCTCCTTTATTAGTTCCTTTGTGACCTTAGGTCACATGGAACTAATGTAATGGTTCCCATGTAAAATGTGTGTATGAGATGTGCAACCAAAAGAGGTCAGCATATTTGTAAACAAATAGGCTCCGAAACGGTGCATCGCGGCAGGTATACATTGTGCTCAATATTTGCTGGTGGACATGCAATTGTGCAAGAAATGTTTGTTTTTTCGGTTAGATATAAAATGTAAGCTGTAGGCGATAAAACATAAACCCCCTACCACCAGTTTTGAGTCGTTTTTTAGTCGAAAATTTGAGTTTAAGTTCTTTATATTGTTTTCGCAACTGTCGGTAAACATTGAGCAAGCTGAGATAGTTGTGGCATATCGGCCACTTACCTGTGCTATTATTTGAAGGTGTTCTGTGTGTTCAATTAGTGTTTTAGTATACTTTAACGGCTAAGATTGACGGATCTGGTGTACCTAGGCCTAGACACATACGTAATGTAGGCTTCTCTTTGGGCGACACTGTCGGACCTGGTGTAGGCCTAGGAGTAGTGCCAAAGTGTGAACCAGCGAGTCATGTGGGCCAATGTGCAAGTCATGCAAGCCAGCGAGCCATACATTTAATTTTTTTTCCAGGTTATCCAGTTTTGCAAACACGTAGGCCTAGCCTATATTTTTTGGCCTAGTACTGTAGATGCAAATGAATAACATACCGGGGAGGTTTGCCTGTGTAGTCCAGTCATGCGCAGTACTGTGTACATATACTTTTAGAATCGTCGATCCGAAAGTATGCAGCGCTGATGTATGTTACAGATACAGATGCATACATACAGGTATATTTATATTTATATGTATATATATATACTGTATATATATAAAATATAGAAAGACAGCAATATAAAACAGCAATGAGTTGTAGACATATTAGAAGCAATATAATTTATTAATTCACAAATATTTCAAACACTCCTGTGTTCTTCCTCAGTGTGAGGACAACTGACAAAAAATACAAAGTAAAGCAATATTTACACACGAAACGAAAACAGAACATCGAATCAGCGGTAAAGAACAAAGGCGCGTAATAAGATTCGCATCCTAAACGTTCTACTTAATATGGAATAAACAAAGTAGATAAAAGCTGGATAAAGGCCTAGGAACCAAGAAAAAAATTAAGTATATATAAGTGAATAGTCTGATAAGTAATCTAAGTCTTTATTTAAACCGTTAATATAAGAATTGGTTCTAAGAATCCACTTCAATTCTTCTTTACGTCTATGTGAGAGGGATAAAAAGTTATTAGCGACCAAAATAAATCTTATGTCATTAATGCTATGGTTAGGTAGATTGAAGTGACAGGCTACTGGGAAACCAGTGGAGTTGTCTCTGATGGTTTTTTTGCGATTATTAAATCGGAGGCGGAATTTAGTACCAGTCTCTCCAATGTAATTACCAATTTGACATTTGTTACAAAATAAAATGCAAATAACGTTAGAAGAATCACAAGTAAGTGGAGGGGGTCTAATAGTAATATTAGTACTAGGAATAGTGAATGTGTCAGAGGTGCACATGAAATTGCAAACTTGACATCTGGGTTTACTACATTTAACGTTACCAGAAGAGTAGGAATTCTTATGGAGTTTAGAGGATGAGAGAATAGATTTCAAATTAGGGGGTTGTCTTTTGGCTAGTAGGGGAGGGTCTTCAAAAAGGTGGCAAATAGATTTATCTTAATTGAGAATTTTATAGTCAGTTTTAAGTTGGCGGGTAAGAGAACTTATATTGGGATGGTAGTCGAAGACGAGAGGAATGCGGTTATTAGTAACATCTTTGGGTTTATGATCTAGAAGGGATTGTCGGGGACGGGTTGAGGCTTTAGAAATAGCTGATAGTATTAGTTTAAGGGGATAATCATTATTAAGAAAATGGCTAGTAAGTATGCCAATTTGTTTGTCATAATCATCCGAAGATGAGCAAATTCGTTTAATTCGTAGACACTGACTATAGACAATAGATTTTTTAAGG